TCAAACTTGTTTGATTATATTTCCTTTTTAGGTTGTATTTAACCTGAAGTATCTAACCACATGCTTAGACTTAATGTGTTTTTAATATACATTTTTTCTAAATTGTATAAATAATCCTTATAAATTAATCTTATAAATTGCCACCTGCCAGGGTCTGAGTTCCAGAAACATTGGGCATGGTTTGCCCCTGCCTTTTGAATGCTTACCTGTTCATTGGCTGAGGGGATAGTCTGAAAGTCACATCCAGCTGAACCTTGGGGAAATATGCCTCAGCAGTTTATCTAGAAACCTTAGAAATCCAAGCCATGTTTGGTACTGGGCAAGGAGAAGAGTGGGCAGATGCAAGGAACATTTCTGAGTATCTTAGTTCAGGCTGCTATAACAGACTACCATTCCACAACTACTATGTTGAATGTTTTCAACAATAAGTGGACATTTATTTCTCAGAGTTCCAGAGGCTGGGAAATCCAAGATCAAGGTGCTAAGAGATTCTGTGACTCATGAGGGCCTTCTTCCTGGTTTGCAGACAGTGCCCTTCTTGTTGTATCCTCAAAGAACAGAGGGGGGGTGGGTTCTGGTCCCTTCCTCTGTACATAAGGGTGCAAATCCCATTATGAAGGACCCATTTCGTGACTCATCTAAACTTGACTACCTCCCAAAGGCCTCATCTCCAAATACCATCACACTGGGGATTAGAGCCTCAATATGAATGTTGGGAGGACACAAGCATTCAGTCTATAGCACTGAGGGTGATATGGTTTGGCTGTGTCCCCACCCCAGTCTCACCTTGAATTGTAATCATCTCCATGTGTCAAGGGTGGGGCCAGGTGGAGGTAACTGAATCATGGGGGTGGTTTCCCCCATAGTGTTCTCTTGGTAGCGAATAAGTCTCATGAGATCTGATGGTTTCATAAATTAGAATTCCTCTGCGCAAGCTCTCTTGCCTGCCGCCACGAGATGTCCCCCTTTGCTCTTCCTTCATCTTCCTCCATGATTGTGAGGCCTCCCCAGCCATGTGGAACTGTGAGTCCATTAAAGCTCTTTCCTTTATAAATTACCCCATGTCTTTATTAGCAGCATGGAAACAGACTAATATAGAGGGACAAAAACAGGATTTGGCATTGACTGGTCTTCAAGGCCTTAAGCCCGTATGACCATGAAGCAGTACTGAAACTGCAAACAGGAGGGACTGTATGGGGGAAACTATCTTCTGGAAAGTGCCAGCAGATTTTCCGGGTGGAAGATCCCACTGGCAGCCAGAAACATGGGTTTGTATCTTTTACAGGAAGTGGGCAGAGCCATCGATATAGATCTGGGAGCTGTACTCAGAGGCAGGAATTAAGGTCACGTGATAGCCAATGAGTGAGAATGAATGAAGTGAAGAGAAACAGATGGCAGATCCCTGGGGAAGTGCCTGCAGAGGGGCCAGAAGGAAGTATCAGAATCAACAAAGGAAACTGGGAAGGCATAGATAGGAGGTTGAATACGGGCCCTCAAAGATTTCAGGTCCAATTCCCTGAAACCTGTAAACGTTACCTTATATGGCAAAATGACTTTGCCGATATGATTAATTTATGGATCTTGAGATAAAGAGATTATCCTGAATTATCCAGGTGGGCCAAAAATGCAATTTCATTTATCCTTTCAAAAGGGAGGAAAGAGAGAGATTCTGCACACACAGAAAAAGAGGAGGAAGTGTGACCACAGCGGCAGAGATAGGAAGAATACAGCCACAAACCAAGGAATGTTGGCAGCCTTCTGAAACTAGGAGAGGAGAGAAATGGAATCTGCCCAGAGCCTCCAAGGGAGCACAGCCTTGGTTTTGACCCAGAGAATTTTTTTGTTTGTTTGTTTGAGTCAGAGTCTCACTCTGTTGCCCAGGCTGGAGTGCATTGACACAATCTTAGCTCACTACAACCTCTGCCTCCCGGGTTCAAGCGATTCTCCTGCCTCAGCTTCCTGAGTATCTGGGATTACAGGTGTGTGCCACCACAGAGGGCTAATTTTTGTATTTTTAGTAGAGACAGGGTTTTGCCATGTTGGCCAGGCTGGCCTTGAGCTCCTGAGCTCAGGTGATCTGCACACCTCAGCCTCCCAAAATGCTGGAGTTATAGGCATAAGCCACTGTGCCTAGCCCCAGTGAAATGTTTTTGGACTTCTGATTCCAAAGCTATAAGAGAATACACGTGTTTTTTTTAAGCCACTAAGTTTGTGGCTATTTGCCACAGCAGCCATAGGGAATGAATACAACATGCTCACAGAACTAGATTGAAGGAGAAACCAGAGACCATGGGGGAAAGAGGTTGAGAGGAGCATGTGGCCAATGGGAAAGTATGCTGTGGGTTGGGGAGGGGGACGTAGACCTCACAGGCAGGGAGGATGCAGGACAGACTGAAGGATGGAATGTGTGAAGCAGCCCTGGGAAGTGGAAGCAGTGGATATGGGTTCCTAGCTCTACAGATCAGTGTAGCAAAGGAAAGATGAGGTGATGGTGGATGGTAGAATCTTGGAGGTTGCATATCTTGTTTTATAAAATAGAAATACAGCACATGTTAAAAAATGAAAACAGCACAGAAAGGTGGAAAATTAAAGACTTCCTCCACCCTTGCTTCTTGCTGTGGTCCTCAATCTACTTTCCAGAGACAACCTTCAATTTTTAGTGCATGTTATCAGAAAGAACCTCACAACTTGGCCAGTAAATCCGTATACATAATTCCCTGTTGGTGGGCACTTGGATTTTTCCAGACTTCTGTTATTAAAAACAGTGTTGCACTGAGTATCTAAGAACAAGGTGTCTTCAAATATCTGGGCTAATATCCATAGGTAGATTCCTCATAATGGAATTACTGGGTCAGAGGGTAAATGCGGTGAAAGTTGCAATAGATAGTGACCAAATGGCCTACAAAAGAGTCTTACTAATTTTTATTTTCTCTATTAACGCATGACTGTACCTGTTTCCCTGCATCCTTCGCAGCACTGAGCTTTGTCAAACCTTTTCATTTTTGCTACTCTGATAGAGGAAAAATTACATCTCCTTGTGACTTAGATTTCTGCATTTTTTTAGTGATGGTGTGAATCGTTTAATACGTCTGCTCTCCATTTCTCTTTTTCTGTTTCCGGTTTGCCCATTTTCATTCAATGTTTACATACATGTTGGAAATTGTGGTGCATTCAAATAAACAAATTCTATACTCAAAATGTGGGTAAATCTCACAAATATCATGTGAAGCAAAAGGACCCAGCACAGTAAGATTCCTGGATATAAAGTTCAAGGACCAGGCAGACTGCAGTTTGGCATTTTAAACAGGCTAGTGGTTATCCTTGACAGAAGAGAAGTGACTAGAAAGGGGGTCTAGGAGTATTGGACTAGGACGTATTTGCAGAGGTTGGTAATATTTTGTTTCTCATCCTGGTTATGTGGGTGAATTCGCTTTGTGAAAATTCATTCAGCTGGATACTTCAGTTCTGTGCACTTCTCTTCATGTATATTCTACTTCCATTTATAAAAGAAAGGGAACTATTTTTTAAATATTTTTGAATGCTTAGAATGTGTCAGACACTGGATGAGTCAGATGAGGCTCTTGTTCTCATGGACTTAAATTTAGAATGAGATAAACACGTCAAATATTTAGTGCAGTGCCTAACATGGAAAAGCACCCAACAAGCATTAGCTGGGAGGATTTATTTAAGACAGGGGAGAAACTGATCGGTGCATATGGAGACCTAATGGGTGCGTGGCATGGCTGGGAAGACACGTGTGATGGAACGGTGGGAAATGAGGCTGCAGAGTGAAACAGGAGCACATCAGCAAGACCTTCTCAGGTCCTAAGCAAAAGGAAATGTATCCTGAAAGTGACAAGGCTCCAGCAGAAGGTTTGAAGCAGGAAAAAGGCATAGCCAGATGATGCTCACCATCCTTTCTAACCTGCTGCAGTTCTCCAGCTCCCCATGGTCCCACTCACAGCCTGAAAACACACCTGCACCTATCTGATGGCAAGCCCAACTACATACAGTAGGGTTCTGCTGTGGTTCCATTCAGGGATCAGGAAGTGTTCCTGGGGGCCCCTCATTCCTGGTCCAGGACCTGCGCCCAGGCTAAACCTAGCCCCGCTGTGGCTCTATCATACATTTCTTCACTGCTTAGCCCTAGGGCTGAGGAGAAATTGGCTTCTGGGGAAGCTCAGCCTCTGTTGTGGAATGCACATGCCCAGGTACTAAGCACTGGCTCCACCACGCTGCTCCCCACTCACGCAGAGCAACCATTGCTGGTTAGGTCCAGAAGGGGCAGCAGAGAGTCCCGTCCTGATCACCAAGCAAGTGAGTAGGGCGATGAGGGCTGGACATCAGCCCTTTTGGGGCTCCCCTTTCTCTCCCATGTCCTTCCTGTTGCAGTGCTAGAATTTCCATTCTATAGAGAAGGGGTTTAGGGACAACAGCTCAACGGGGGAGGGAGCTTGAAGCTGCATTTGCATATAACTGATTCGAAATTGAGGAACATCAGGCGTCTGCACTAAGGAATGAGACGCCAATGGAGAATCGCGGAGAAGGGGTGGCCGGAAGTCCTTCCGGAACTGCCCTTCCGCTTCCCACCCTCGATGCAGCCGGAACCTTTTTTCATTCCTAACGCGCCCCGGCTCTGAGCTGCAGAACCAACAAAACCTGTGTCCTCAGTTTAAATATTTAATGGGCACAAGGAGCAGCCATTAGAGACTGGAACAGAAGCTGACCAGGGGTCTGGAAAGGATGGGTTATGACATGGCCCAAGTGCTCCCTTGCCCTCCATTAATAATGCAGGAATCGCTAGAGTGCCTGCTCGCTGGTTTCGCCTGGGTCCTACGTTCCTCTCCGGCTCCAGTGCCCTGCACAGGGAGCCAAAACGATGTCTTCCTTCTTTTTCAGAGGCCCCCGTGCCGGCAGGCTGGGCGGGAGGCTGGCAGAAGAGGGGCGGTGAGGGCTGACTTGCTGCCAGAGGTTTAACGCTGTCCTCGTTCTGTTTCCAGGGGAGGCTCAGAGGCAAGAAGGAGATGAAAGTTGTGCTGCTGCTGAGGCGTTGACAGCGCCTGAGGATGCTGGGAGGCCCACTGTCAACTCCCCACCAAATCAGAGCTGCGGGGACCAGAGCAAGCTCTTTCATTCTCCGTTACCCCAGTTACCTTCTGAGGAAGAAGTAAACAGCCTTGGAAGGGAAATAATTAAACTGACAAAGGAACAGGCAGCTGCAGAGCTGGAAGAGGTCAGAAGAGAGAGTCCCATAGAGGGTCAGAGGAGTGAGACGGGGCCCGCCCCGCAGGGCCTGGCCGCCCCCGGGGAGCTCACCACATCTCACCTGGACTCCTTCGAGGCCAGCCAGCCAGCAGCCGAAGCTCCCGCACTGGAAGATGGCGAAGGGGTCCCAGAGGGCACAGGCACGAGGAGCACCGTGAAAACCTGAAGGGGAGAGGGATCTGACGCAGTGACACACTGAAAGCCCCAGAGAGGGTCAAGAAGGAAGCATCAGAACGGCGTGCCCACGTCGCCTTCTGAAACACCTCCGACTCTGCAAGTGAGAAAACGCTCCGATCCTGTTGCAAACTATGAATATTCAGATGATGCCGGTACAGTTTGATTTATTAAACGGAGGTCCTAAAGCTTCTCCATGGCATCTCTCTGCGGAAGAGCGCTACTGTGAACAGGGCCAGGCCCAGGAACTGTGTCCGCCATATGGCTGGTTTTCAGCATCCGTGTTTCTGTCAGCTTTTGTTTTATCAGAGATAAGATGTTTTTGTATTAGCATTTCATGTCGTCAATCAAAATTACAGGAAGAGCTAGAAACTGATGGGGTATTTAATCAGGTCCCTGAGTTGGTCAAGGTTAGGCAGCTGGAGAGGAAAGTGTAATTGAGCAGAATGTGTTCAGAGGGCCCTCGCAGCCCATCAAGTTAGGTCCCGGTAGGACCACCTGGCATGGGTGTGCCTGGCATTGTGCCCACGGCACTGCTGTGGGGCAGACTGGCAGGTGGAAGGGACCTTGAGCAGGCTGAGAAGGTTGGGCTTCTGGGTTGATCCACGGCCCCTGTTGAGGCCTGTGTGGTGAGTGCCAGAGCTGAGTTTTCCAGCTTGTAAATCCGGAGAATTAACTGAAGTGATTGGGAGGGGTGGGCATAAACGCTGGAGATCAGGACTCCCAGTGGTGATCTGGATTTTTGTGAGGTGAGATGAGATGAGAGCTACAACCTGGAAATGCTCGGTCTCTGCATTCGACCTGTCTCACACTGGGATTGTATGGCCAGTTTAGGTTTGGGACAGATCTACTTGCCGGGAGCCAGTCTGGTTTCCTGGACCACCTGGAACTTCCAAACCCTTCTTCACTCCTTCAACAATGTTGAGGCTGCCTCATTTGTGCCACCAAGTGTTGGAATTTTAAAGACCAGACACAGAGTTTGTGACCTTATAAGGGAAAGAGAGAGGAAAACAAAACAGCTTCACTGGAGCCTGGCAAGGAGGGCTGTGGCACCACGGGCACAATCCAGGGTTGGGAAAGGAGGCCATGGTCAGTGCCACCTGGTTCTTTCCTTTCGGATAAAAATTAGATTTTCTAGATGGCATCCAGCACTGCAGAAAATTGAAAGATCATCCAGCCATAGCTTTTTCCTTCCCTGGAAAGCCTGAGACTAGATCCCAAAGCTCAGAATGCCTCTGAGAACCAGAATCACTCCTTTGAGAGACCCTCCTTGCAGGAAAAAGAGAGGCTCCCAGAGCGGCAGCCTCTCTTAGTGAAAATGCATCCTAAAAATTCGATGTTTATCCCAGGCTTATGGCACTAAGATGTGACATCTGGACACGAGGGGCCGGCCACATAGATACATCCCTCCCACATTGCATCTCCAGGAATCCTCTGCGAGCAGAATGGGAGCCCTATCACTTTCTGTGCTGCTCCTCTGAAGTAGGCCCAAGTGGAGCCCAAACAGACCCAGGCCTTTGTCTGATGCACACTGGCTGGGCCTCCCACTACTTTAGTTGAAAAGGGAGCATGCTGCTGTCCGGGCTCTGTTGCTCCTGGTGAGAAGGACATACCATTGACCCCACCTACCACCGGCTCTAATGTTCCATCCTTTTGTGTCCCAGCCTGTTCCCTCCCCACCAGGCCCACCCCGACAGCCTCTCCTCAGGGGAGGCTGCTCCTGCAGCTGGAGGGCTTGCACAGACCAGCAGTCACAGAAATCATTCTTCCTGCTGGACTGGGCCTTAACTGCCTGCAAATGTTCAGCACAACTGCATAGGATACCAGAGCCACCAAAGGAAAACACAGCCAAATTTAATATAATAATAGAAGGAACAACTCACCCTGCAGAACTCTGGTTTTGACACACTGTCAGCCAGATGCACCTCTTCAGGGCCTGTTTGGCACCTTCTGAAAAGCAGGGCTCATAACAGACTCCAGCACATTCCATCAGTGTCAGGAAAATTGCAGTGAGTCCCAGAGGATCTGGGGTGAGGGCAGGAGCAGCAGTCATAGGGAGCTATAACCTAAACTGTGTGTAGTCATGTAGTCAGCTGGGAGGGTCTTATATTATTAGATGAAATAAGAGCCAGTGAGTAAGTTGATCCTGTCACAGATGTAACCATGATAACACCCCATGGATATGTGACACATGTGTCCATGTGTCCTGCCCCTGCTTTCTCCATCCAATGTGTTTTTTTTTTTTTTTTTTTTTGGAGACAGAGTCTCGCTCTCTCACCCCGGCTAGAGTGCAGTGATGCAATCTCGGCTCACTGCAACCTCCACCTCCAGGTCCCAGCTCAAGCAATTCTCCTGCCTCAGCCTCCTGAGTAACTGGGATTACAGGAACGCGCCAGCATGCCCATCTAATTTTTGTATTTTTAGTAGAGACGGGGTTTCACCATGTTGGCCAAGCTGGTCTCAAACTCCTGACCTAGTGATCCTCCCGCCTTGGCCTCCCAAAGTGCTGGGATTGCAGGCGTGAGCCACTGCGCCCGGCCCAATATTGTTCTTCTTTTCCATAGACATTAAAGGGGAGTTCTGCAATCACTTACAGCTGTCTTTTGCCTTTTTTAGGATCATTGTTTAGGGGGCAGCATTCTCTCCCCTACTTCGCTAGATAACCCTGCATCAGTCGTGGTCCTCCCAGCTCCAAGCCACATTTATAGAAACAAACAGTAGGAAAATGAATTCTGTTGCGTAACAGGAATTTCGGAAGTAGGGCATTCCAAGGCTGTACATTCAAGAAAGTCATCAAGGTTCTAGTTTTCGTCTTCTTGCTCCTCCTGCTGTGTCAGCTGCTTTCTCATGATAATGAGATGGATGCACCTGTTCAAAGACAGAAGGAAGTTTCTCCCACATACATGTGTGTGTGTGTTTCAAGAGCAAAAACCCAGCTCCTATCACATTTGATTGGCCAGAATGATCACCTGGGGCTTGTCCCACGTGACCTTATAACATGATGATGTCACATGATGATGTCTTAACCAATCCTTAGCAAGGGAGATGCTATTACCATGATCCGTTTAGGTTCACCAAGATTCACCCTTAAGAACTGAAGAAGGGCCCTGTCCTTAGACATTCAGACTTTAAAAGCCTGAACACCAAAACAGTATCATATCTTGGGATGTGTAAGAGATCTGGGAATAGACAAGCAGTGGTGTTGTCTCTGAACCCCATGTCTTTGTGGGGTTTTTTTGTTGTTGTTTTTTTGCTGCATGAAAAGCCAGAAAATCATGTTTCTAATGAGTCTGGAGTTAAGGGGAGGGGCTGTGGTTGTTTGCTCAGAAAAATGCCATCTCATCCCCTCCCTGGCATCCTTCTGAACTGTCCTGTTTTGTAGGTGGAGTGTTCCCACCTTTGTTTGTCTCTTCAGGCGTGTTTGTCCTTCCATTATTTTTCCAGCTAGGTTGCCAGCAGAATGCAGAGGAGTCTGGAGAAATGAAACAGAGCTGACAGGTCTCTTAATGAAAGCTTGTTTGCACACCCTGCCTTTCCTGTGATCGCTCTGTACCTGAGAGCCTCTAGGTGTGGATTTTTACATATGAGCATTTGTCCTTCTTTTAATTAAGGCCCTAGAAATGGATTGGTTTTTCTAACCAGGCATTTCTCATCCCCCAGTCTTGCTCTTCCTCTTTCCACACCTTCTCTGCCCGCCTTCCTGTCCTCTTCCCCTTCCTTCTTTTGCTCCCGCAGCTATTCCCAAAGCCTCTTTTGGCAGAGAGGCTCCTGATGGCTTCAGCTCAATGCTGGCTGGACCCTTCCACCTTTTGGCAATCTTAAGCAAGCAAAATGAGTTTGCCCATCATTGCTCCTCTTCAGGGACCTCCCTCCCAAACATGCACCACCATCACGACACAAAGTTCTAGAAAAGGGCTCTGCTATCAGTTATTCACATGTTGGAGTAAATATTTTGATGTGTTATACCTACTGGTAGCCTTTGCACCCCAGTTCACCATATGGCATGAAAAGTTCTGTCTCCTCTCTAAGGAATGGCAAAGACCAGTTACTTACTCATTGAGGTGATCTTCCCTGTCTCTTTAAAATTACAGCATGCCTTTGCCCCTCTTGGTTTTCACTCCAAAAAAATGGGATGCCCTCCTGGCTTTGTTGTTTTCCCATAGCCCTGTAGATGGCTTGGTACCCTACTAATTTTTTTTTTTTTTTTTTTTTGAGACAGAGTCTCGCTCTGTCACCCAGGTTGGAGTGCAGTGGCATGATCTCGGCTCACTGCAACCCCTGCCTCCTGGGTTCAAGTGATTCTCCTGCCTCAGCCTCCCGAGTAGCCAGGACTACAGGCGCATGCCACCACACCCGGCTAATTTTTTGTATTTTCAGCAGAGAGGGGATTTCACTGTGTTAGCCAGGATGGCCTTGATCTCCTGACCTTGTGATCTGCCCGCCTTGGCCTCCCGAAATGCTGGGATTATAGGCATGAGCCACTCCATCCAGCTTTTTTGTTTTTTTTAAGAGTCTCACTCTGTTACTTAGGCTGGAGTGCAGTGGCATGATCTCAACTCACTGCAGCCTCTGCCTCCCGAGTTCAAGCAATTCTCCTGCCTCAGCCTCCTGAGTAGCTGGGACTACAGGCATGTGCCACCATGCTCAGCTAATTTTTGTATTTTTAGTAGAGACGGGGTTTCCCTATGTTGACCAGACTGGTCTTGAACCCCCAACCTCGTGATCTGCCTGCCTCAGCCTCCAAAAGTGCTGGGATTCTAGGCATGAGCCGTCACTGCACCCAACCTCTACCCTACTTCTTTCTGAAAAAGAGAGCACCTTCTTCCTCTGCTTTCATTCTGAAGACTCCATTTAAAACACTCCTCCTCCTTAGCAATAGCGAGAGTCCCTTCAGACTAGATAGGATGTCAAAAGGCCAAAGCATTGCCCCCAGCTCACTGCTTTAATGTACTCCCTTCTTTCCAGGTGTCTTCCTGAACAGAGAAAAACTTACAGCTCAGAGAGATGCAATTGGGAGCTCCATAGTGAATCTAGTTAGAAATGAGAAGCAGAAAAAATAGGAAAGACCTGTCTCTCAATATTATGGTCGCTTCCAAAAACAACACCAAACAAGTTGATACAGCATGAAGGCAATTTAAAATGATAGATCTGGACATGCTGCTTTACATTTCATATCACCGCTTTATGAAATGTGAATTTTTTTGGATGCAAAGGGAAAGTGTGCATAATATTGAAAAGTTTGACTTTCTGGAATCTGTGTGAGCTGAGGAATATATTTGGGGATCTTAGCAGAGGCCAGTGGTAGCCTATTAAATGTAAAACAATTGGCTTTGTTTTTAAAACCAGCTGCTATTTTGTAGTTTCATTTAAAGAAAGAGTACCTTCTATTCATTTGCAGAACTTGCTTTATTGGATTCTTTGGTCATTGTGTATCATAACTGTATCTTTTTTGTTACTTGAAATAAAAATGTGGCAATTTTCCTGGTAGAGATGATTAATTATCTTTATTATTTGCTTCATATTCCACCCTCAGCACAGAGCAAGCAGAGGCTGACCATGACTGCTAACATATTGCAGCAACTTACCAGTCGCAATCTGTCACCTAAAACTATTTGATCATATGGTAGTCACGAAAAATATGGAGAATGTAAAGATTTTATGCATTCAGTCAAAAAAAGGCAGATCTAAAATCAGTTGGTTTATTTCCTGCAGTCTTTCAAGTTGACCAAAGCACTCACTGATTTGCTCTATTTTCTTACGTTTTTAGTATTTCTGTATATATGCACTAAAAAGCCCCACTCGGAAAAAAAATCAGTGCAATTCTGAGAAAAAGCTTATCCTAAACATCTAAAGATAGCATTTCTAATTATTGTCTACATTGTGTTTAAACTGTGCAAACTTGAGCATTATTCTCACTTTACCAGCTGTGTCTAGGTAGAGTCATTACATCAAACGCTTCTAATTTTACAAAAAGAAATCAAAACAAGCGTGTGTTTCAGTCCCAGTGACAAATGCAACCCTGTGAGTCAAACAGGCAAACTGATTAGCAAGCTGGCTGTGAAGTCAAAACAGCAAATATAAGGACATTAACAAAATAGATCTGTAAGATGAGAGAAGTAAAAATAGACTCCAGGGGCCAAGTGGGGTCCGATGGGTGGCTTTGGTGGCACACATATGGTTCTGTGCCAAGAACCAGATGTCTGCCTTTATGACCCACAATCCTCCCTTCATCCTAGATCCCCTCCCCACAAGAGCTGGGATCGCAGAGTTCATGTCATCCAGTCTCTCAATGGATGCAGAGATCCTTCACGGGAACCTCAGAGGTAGCAACTTTCGTTCATTTGAATCCTGGTTGCATGATGCTTACCACCTTACAAGGCAGCCCCATCTATTTATTAGTAGTAGCTATTTTTTTAAATCTTCATCATTGCTATTAATTAGATACTTATTAGGTCCTTATTTGTTGTGCATACTATGTTATGCACCTCTTATGAATAATGCTTGATTTAATCTTCAAAACAATCTGGTATGATGATCTTATTTTACCCATGCTCAGAGAGGTTAAGGGACTTGTTCAGGTCACACAGCTTGTGAGTATGGCAGAGCTGGGGTTCAAATGGAGCTCTCTACCTGAATCTGACCTGTTAACCATCATGCTATATGCATATCTTTGCCCTTACAATTAACTGTAATTCGTCCTCCTATTATTTCCTGGTTTTTTTTCTTTTCTTGTTTGTTTTTTGTTTTTTTTTGTTTTGTTTTGGGAGTTTGTTTTGTTTATTTGGTTTGGTTTTGGGCTCTGGAGGCCCATAGGATATTTTATCCATCCTATTCCTGGAACAGAAATCGAGTGAGTCTGCTAGGGTGTCTCTCCAGCCCCATCTAGGGGGTCAAGGGTTGTGAAGAGAGACACTAAGAACTGAATGCAATTGACAAGAAGCGTCAGCCTCCTTCTGAAAAAAAAAAAAAAAAAGAAAGAAAAAAAAAAAGGATCCACACCTTTCCTGATGATCCTGAATTCACCATAATCCAGGCAGCAGAGTAGAAGGTGGGTGTTGGGGATTTTAATCCTCTCCATCCTGAGCCCCCATGTAATTGCTGCCTCAGGGCAACTTGTAATTGGGGGATATTTGAGATCAGGATCGGGAGACTTAGAGACATCGTTAACTCATTCTCTTTCAGTGCTGGTGCCTACAGTTCGAGTTAGTATTCAAACCAGTAAGATCCAGTTGGTGGAGCAAAGTCACCAGGCAATAGCCTTTCTCTCCCATTGTCACCTAGGTTCAAGGAAAAATTTTTAAATAACAAGTTAGTCCTAGTTAGAGGTAAAAATAGCTCCTGGGGACAGGTTTCTGGCTGCGGTTCAGTTTGACGCACTGCCTTAGGAGTCTGGGAGAGATGGAAGCTGCCTCCCAGTAACCAGGGCAGAAAAGCCAAGGCTAGGAAGTGAGGCTACCCTGGGAAGTTAAAAAGTTATCACAAGTACGTTTATTCCGTGAATGAAGGTGAATACGCAAGACTGTTCTAGCTTGGTTATAGATTATACAGTTCGATAGAAAGCTGAACTCCCAACAAGCCTTCATCAAAATCAGCCGCCTTTTCATCCCGCTGCCTCCGTTTGCCTCTGATCTTGGTCCTGCTGGATGCTAACAAAGTCACATTCCAACCCCACTGTTCCAGTCACGTGGCTTCCCTGGCACTGTCTCTGACATCTGGGAAATGGACCTAACGCTATACTCAGAGGCAGAAGTGACAAGCCACCAGCCCGGGTGACATAGAACGCCTCCTCCACTCAGGCCAGAGTCTCCCGTGTCAGAATCATCTGGAAGCTTGTTGCAAATAAACTTTCTCTTCTCCCTTTGGATTCCACAGCTCTGGGATTTAGCCCAGGAAGCTGTATTTTTTAAAAATTTCCCTGAGTGATTCTGGTGACCTTCCTCTTGGAGCCACACTGAAGGGCAAGACAAACTGGCTGAGCGTTGTTGCCAGTAGGGTTAGCGGGGTGGGGGCAGAGGTTCAGGAGAAGTCCTGCAGGGATTTGGGAAATAGCTTTGCCACTTAAAAAAAAAAAAAAGAAAAAAAAAAAAAACTGAGCCTGGGAGAGAAGCCTAAAACAAACAAAAAAGTAACCAAGGCCCCGACGCAGTACTGAATTGCTGAATTTTTAATGTGCAATATGAAGACCGCCAAATATCCCCCCAAAGGAGCAGCTCTCAGTGGGGTGGCGGTGGAGGGGAAACAGCTCAGGACGCCGGGCAGTTGGCCTGACATCCGCTGCACCGGCCGGCTGGCCACGGAGCGGTGGTGGGTGGGGAGGGGGAGGAGGACTCTAGGTAACCCCCCAGAGGGGCCTAGGAGCGAGCGCCTAGGAGGGATCTGAAGGCGGGAAGAGAGAAGATTGTCAGGTCAGAGGCGGAGATTCAGGGTTTTTAGGGCGAGGGAGGAGGGTCAGAGGTGGGGTCTCAGGCCTTATGGGGTGGGGGGAGGAGGGTCAGAGGCTGGTACTCAGGTCTTACAGGGTTGGGGGAGGAGGGTCCGGGTGGAAAGAGGCCTGCGGGAGCCTAGGAGGCTGTCAGCGTGGACGGGGTGTTTCAGTACAAATGGAGGCCCTCGACACACTGAGTGGGGGGCTCCGAGGGTTGGGCGGTTCTCGGGATGCAAAGGGTGGAGGGTCTTGGCGCACAGAAGGGAGACCTGGGTGGGGAGGGCTGCAGAGAGACTTCAGCAAAGGCGAAGATGAGACCCCAGGGTGGAGGGTGCCTGTTGGAGAAACTCAAAGGCAGAGGGGGGCGCCGGGGGTCCCTGGCCGCCGTCGGGGGGCACGCGCTCAGGCGGCCTTGCACTCGCTCTCGCGCCGCCGCTTCTTGCGCTCCGAGTGCTCCTGCGCCTGGCGCGCCCAGGGCCCGGGGCCGCACACGCCCACCACGCAGCAGGCCAGCCGCCGGCCCGCGTTGCCGTTCTCCACGCTGGCCTGGTTGCCGCCGCGGCCCAGGTCGTCCTCGCCGGCGTGGACCACCACGGCCCGGCCCACGATGGAGTGCGGGCCCGCGAGCGAGGCGGCCAGGCCGGCGCGGTACTTCCAGAGGCGGCCGTCGCGCACCGCGAAGTTGCCGAAGTCGCCCGGGTGGCGCGGGTGCGGCACGGACAGGGGGTTGTAGTGGGGCCCGGTGGACTCGCAGCCCTGGCTCAGGTCCCCGAACTGGTGCACGTGGATGGCGCGGCTGGAGCTGTTCGGCTCGGCCGGGAAGCCCTCCAGGTCGAAGAAGGCCTCGAGCTTGGCGCGGGGCGCGAGCTGCCGGAACAGGACCACGCCGGTGACCCGGGGCTGCGCGGCGTCCAGCGTGGCCGAGGGCTGCACCTGGCAGGTGGCGTGGAGCACGTCGTCGTCGTCCCGCCGCTGCGTGAGCTTCTGCCAGATCTCCGAGACCTTGGCGTGCATGTCTCGGATCCGCTCCGCCAAGTCAAAGCTGGGCTCCACCAGGTCCTCTCCCATCCAGACGTCCGAGGCCCCGGCTGCCAGGAGCAGGCAGGAACACAGCAGCGCCAGCATGGCCGGGTCGGGCACCTGCGGGACGCCCCCGCCAAGATGGGGGCGGAGTGAGGCTTAGTCCCTTGAAACATGAAATCTCAGGGACCCCATCGTCGCAGAGCCAACCCCTCCCCCCAGTCCCCAAGGGGCTTCCTGACCCAGTGGATATGCATTCTTGCAAACGTTTGTCCAAGGCCTGCTGTGGGCCGGGCACTGTGTTAGGTGCTGTGGTTGTAAAAATGGGTGAGACCCACTCTGAAGACACCCACAGGGATCTGAGTCACAAATGATCATGGTGCTTTCCAGTCCCGTCTCCATACCGGGGAGGGGTCTCAGGGAGCATGAGGGGTGTCTCATGGCCCTTCCAGACCAGCCCCTCCCCTCCTCGCCTGGCCTCCTGTCCCCCTCTTCCTCCATCCTCCCGCACAGACATCCCTGAGGCTTCCGTCCTGCCTTCTTGGGCTTTGCATGTGCTACGCCTTCTCCCTGAAGTGACTTCTCCCCGTTCTCTGCTACACTCAGTAGACTTGGAGCTTCTTGAAGACAGAAACTCAGTTTTATTCATTGGTATCCCCAGCACCTGGGCCCACACCTGGCAATAGGAGACATACAATATGTGATTGTTGCATAAGGAGTTCAGCGAAGGACAGACTTGGCATGCAGTCATTCCAGCACAATCCAGTGAGTGAGGATGGGGCCTGTGCTGGAGAAAGACAGAGCAGGTAGTACCTAGTACCCATCTCCCTGGGGGCCTCTGGGAGGCTTCTTAGAGGTGGTGACTTCTGAACTGGATTCCACAAGATGGGTAGGAGTTTTCCAGCCATGTTGTGTAGGAAGGCCATCTCAGCAGGTAGTGCAGTGGGAAGTTTTTAAGAAGAAAAGTGGGTGAAGAGGTAGTCTTTGGTTCCTTAAGTCCTACAAGTAGAAGGATGTGGGCTGGACTTTGAGATGAAGAGAGAAGGGGAAGAAGCATGGGAGTAGCCTAGGGAGAGACAGAGAAGCAGAAATAGAGGCAGGGAGATGAGTTGGGGGCACTGTAGTAACCCAAGCAGGAAATGAAGGCTTTTACCAAAGTGGAGGCAGCACACGCAGAGGAGGCATGGGTTTAAGAAGCACGCCAGGCAGCGCTGGCAGGCGGGAAGGTGAAGGCGCAGTGCAGATGACCAAGTTCCCATCAGGAGAGACTGGTCCCGAGAAGAAGGGAGAGAGAATGAGTCCAGCCAGAGTCTCCTGAGGGTGAGATGCCAGAGGGTGCCCAGGTGGGGAGACAGGTGGGCAGACAGTTGGAAACTTGGGTCTGGCACTTGGAAGAGGAGGCGAACCTGGCAGGGCGTCTAGTGTTGACTGCACATCAGATTCTAGTTTTTAAAAATTAGATGCCCAGGCCCCACCCCAAGAGATTCAGATTCTGTGAGCTTGATTTAAAAAAAGGAAGAAGAAGAAGAAAGAAAGAAGAAAGAGATGAAAAGAAAGA